AGGCAAACCGGCGAGGCAGGCTTGAGTCTGCTTGTAGCAGATAGCGAGTGGTTTATCAGCAAGGGCTGATCTGTGGTCTCAAGGGGAAAAAAAAAATGTCTTCCTCTTTTTTCCTTTCCCACCCCCTTTTTGGCTTTTGTACACGCCAACTGCTGTTTCAGTTGAAATTGCGTTTGCGGGGACGCGCTGCGCTTCTCTCGTAGTAGCGGCCGCGGGAACGTGAGAAGAGGTTACGGGTAGCTTACAGCACCGAGCTTTTTCTGCTGCTCCTCGTACTGATGGAAGACTTTGATATCACTGCAAAGCTTGCACAAATCTGTACTTAAGTACCTCCGCTGGGGAAGAGGTGTGTGCGTGGTGCAACTTTGCATGTGATAGAAAAGAGATCATGCGGTGAGAGAAGTCAGGCGAGCTGCGTTCACGTTCGAACGAGCCAGAGGAGCTGCGGTTCTCCTTGTACAAGATCAGTTGTGGCAACATCTTCCAAATCCTGGCAGCAGTGGAAATTTATGCTTTGTATAATTATCCATTAATATGAGAATAATGGGTAATGCCTCTTAAACTGGCAGCAATAAAGGGCAGTATGTAAACATTGGTTACTTTTAGTTGAAGTCCTGACAAAGTGGAGGCTTAAATTCCTCTCCAAACAAACTACTTGAAGGATCTATAAAAATCAGCAACTTGTAAATCTCTCTGCGGGGCGAGGGGAACGCTCCCGCTTTATTGGTTTTCCTGATTTTGTTGCAGCTGCGAAAGGAATTGCAACGCGCGATAAGCCATTAAAGGTGTGGGCGACGGGGGCGTTTGTGGAAATACTCTCTGGGCAAGGTGTTTTCTGTGGTGCTTGATCCTAATCAGAAGGGCCTGCTGTTGCGTTAATATTTCCATGGCGCTGGAAGCTTGTGACACACTTGAGAGGAGGCCCTGCGTGACGGTGAAGTCCAGGGGTGGTGCGGCAGCTGGAGCTCAGTGCCCAGCGTCGCCCCCAGGCCCTGAGCAGGGCTCGCATCGGATGGATGCAAAAGTCGCCCAGCATGGAAAGGAGGACACTGGAAGGGAAGAGCGCGCGTGGATGAGTGAATGGAGGCAGACAGGGAAAGGTGGCAGAGGAGGGAGAACTTGTGATAGCACCTAATGAGGAAAGCCAAATTGTCGCAGCTGGAAAAGCTCCCTGTGTGAACTGCTGGACAAGTCGGTAGCAGAGCAGGGGCCAGGCTGCTCAGCTGGGACCACTGGGCTCAAATGGAGGATTAAAGAACTGCCAGTGAGGAGGATTTTGGGGTGCAAATGGCAGTCTTGTGGTGCTCCTTGCTGGAGGGTTTGTTCCAGGCTTACTCCCTCTCCAGTGCTGCCGTTCCTTGAGTTTGAAACGGTCGGATAAATGTTTTTTCCACTGCTGGACTCAGCCTAAACATTGCTGCTCTTTTCTTTCCCTTCGCTCCGCTTGTGCGTTTGGGCTTCGTGCTCGTGTTGAAGTACCAAAACCCCAGTTTGCGTCGTTGGGATCTAGGTCCCCCCCGCCCCGAAATACCCGTCTCTGAGAGACGTGGCGACGGAGGCCTTGGTCCGTGCAGTCTGCGGCCCGCGAGGCCCAAACGGGCCGCCGGCAACTTGCGGTGGGGAGCGCTTCCCAGGGCAACGCCACGCCGCACACCACTGCGGTCAGTTGGGATGGATTTGGAGTAACCTTATGTTTGGGCTTTCCTGTGACAGCAATAGTCTCTAATAAAAACTTGGCAGTGGAATTTGCCAAGTAGAAATGGGAACATTGAGAGCGGTTGGGTTTTGCTCGTTTTCTAAGGCTGTGCATTCAGATGTTAAGCAGGCCTGTGGTTGACTGAGTTTTAATCTGCTGCTTTCCTGTTTGCTTGCAGTTGTGGTGTGACGTGGAGAGCACGCGCATGATGAAGAGGAGCTCTCACCTCTCCTAATCCTTTGTGCCGGTGATTTGGGAGCAGCGAACGCCACGTCTGCTCATTCGACATGTCTGGATCTACCCAGCCCGTGACGCAGAGCTGGCGTGCGGCTGAGCCGCGCTATCCCCCTCACGCCATGTCCTATCCGGTTCAGATCGCTCGACCGCACGCGGTAAGGCGCGAGGCCCTTTCCCTGCCCGCTCGCGGGGTGGGAGCCGTGCGGTGTGCCCCTGTCGTTGGGGCAGTGGTTCAGCTGCGTTGCTCTCTGATGTGGCTGTTAACGAAAATCAGAGCGTTTCCGTGTTTGCGATACGGGATTTCATCGTTCCTCTCCCACGTGATCCTCTTCCTTTTCTCCATGTAGTGCTTACAGCCTTTCTCTCCCTTCCCAGCCTCTTCCTGCCGCTTGCGATGGTGCTGCTGGTGGACTCGGGCACGCTGTTTCTGAGCGTGGGGGCACGGGGCTTTCCCAGGGAGAACGCAGTTGGGCAGACGCAGCAAGAGCGAGCGTTGGGAGAGAAAGGGAAGTGCGGTTAACCGCACGTGTGGAGTTCAAGCCCGCTGCCTCCGTCCCTCTTGGGCCTGGCCCTTTCTTTGTCCTGAAGCAGAGAGTGCCTGGCCTCCTCTCCTGGGCGTGGGCTCGTCGTTTCCCAGCAAGCCCCGTCCCTTGCCTTCATGTCTCGGAGCTCTTGTGATTTCCGCAGGGCGGGCAGGGGGCTGCGTAAGAAACCTGCTGCTCACTTTTCAGTCGAGGGGACCAACCTGTCTCTACTTGGCGTTTCTGGCTGATGGTGGTAGTCTTGGTGAGTGAGAAGAAAATTGAGCAGCTGGGTTTTTTCCATTTCATCCTTTCCCGTGTTTTCCTCTCCCTTTCCTTTGACCTGTAGTCTTGTCTCCTGTTGGATCAAGGCATAAACTGAAATAACTTCTTTTTTTTTAAAAAAAAAAAAAAAAAAAATAAAAAGGTTTGGAGCACATCCTGTAGATTTAACTGCAAGAGAGCATGGCTTTTGCCGCTCAGGGCCTCCAGGAACTACCCAACATAACAGGGCACGTCTCTAGGACACATGCTTTGGACAGAGGGATGGACTCTGGCTCTGGAGCTGGGCTAGATCAGCTTTTGGACATGGGAACGATGTCTTATAAAAGCAATTTCCCTGGCAACGGTTATGCTTCCTTAGTGAAACCTGTGGGTGAAACTGTTGCCCAAATGGCACGTGAGGCAACGTTTTTGTTGAACGCGTTGGAGCTTGCAAGGGTTAATTCACCCAGGTCCTTCCTCTCCCTTCTGTATCTGTCACTCATGTCTCCGCTCATCCTGGATGTTTGAATGATTTAGGTTTAAGCCCTTAACGGAAAAAACTCTCCTTAGTGGAACAGCTCTAGTCAGCTCAAGCTGCTTATTAGGTGCTGGAGTGTGGCACATGCTTGTAAGGCTGCTCTTTGGAGCCAACTTCTTGATGAGTTAAAGCAAGGTGACCACAGCCAGGAAGGTATTTGTAATGTGAGTTAGTGCAGGGGGCGTGAGGCAACCTTGTCTCAGGGCTACGTTTCTGGTGGTGAAGCCTATTGAACTGCAAAATCCCTGTTGTGATGATGTTAGGGTTTGACTTGAAAGCCTAGAAATCCAAGAAATGCAATGAAGGGGTGAAGTTCCAGTCTGCCCACTCTGCTGGGCTTCAGCAGAGTGGCGTGTGGAGCACAACTGGTGTTTTGGAAAGGCTTTGAAATATAAACCTAAGGAGGCTGCCGGACTAGCTTTTGGCTGCATTGCCTGGCTCATGTAGGTTGCTTGGGGCTTGCATGCTTCTGCACAAAGAAACTTTTCATCCAGGATATGAGACATGCTGACCTGGTTCAGTTTACGGGAGTCTTGCTTCCATCAGTGTGAGCGTGTTTATCTGGGAGGTGGGGTAGCATGAGAGCATTTTTCTCAACAGGAAAATCTCAGTTCTTTTTGTCAGAAACTCAAACAGGATATGAGCAGGTGAGCCAGATCTGCAGTTGTTGCAGAGCCCTCATTTGAAAACAAACCAAAAAACCCTCAAAACCCAATGTGAAGAGGGATTTTGGAAGTGTGAAAATAGCTCCTGGCCTTGGGACGAGTCCTTGTGTCTTGCAAACCCGCATTGCTCCCCTCGGTGTTACAGCAGCAAACTGTACCGAACGGGGCCAATTGATCGCAAGTCGGACTGTGAGCTCTGGGTGTCTCCAGCCTGTCCTCCTCTCTGGGTAGAGTGAATACTGTTTTTATTCTGCCGTATTAATGTTGGAAGAAGTTGCTGGCATTTGCTCCTAGAAGCTATTTTTGCAGCCGCGTGTAATCTTCCAGAGTTATGTGATACCTTTTAGGTGTTTGGATGCATGAGAGGTCTAAGTTGAGATTTTAGATGGAAAGCCAAAAGGATCCTCTCTCCCCCTCGATAAGTGTGCCAGCCCCACACAAATCAAATGTGTCTCGCCTGTGCTTGAGAGGGTAGATGGAGCGTTTCTTGGAAACGTGTCCTTGCGTGATTTGCCCTGCCATGCTCAGCTGTTTGCAAACATACGTCTCTGGCTCGGCAGAGCCGTCAGCTGGAACCTTTCCACGGCTCCGCGGATCTCTGGTGGGATTGTTCGGGAGAGGAGAGCCCAACTGCTTTGAAGTTGCTGTGCTGTTTAATATTAAAGTGGTATTTGCTTGCATGTCTTGGCCAGGTCAGTTTTGTCATGGGGTGTGTTTGCACAGTGAGAGCTTGTTTGGAAGAAAGCAAGAGAGGCCAAAACCTACCCAACACAAACATGTCTTGCATCTAATTAGATTTGGATTCTGGTTTGTTGTGTTCCACGACGTCCTTTCACAAGAAGAACTGGGAATTTATTAGCCCTGGGAAGCCTTACCCTGGCTGCAGGAATTCCCACTGTGGAAATCCCCTTGGGTGTCTCTCCCTGGGAGCATGTGCAAGGCTGAGCATAGTGGAGCTATAAATGTTATTGCCATATAGATAAATAATTATAGTTCACCTGTGACGGTAGCACCCAGGGAAATGTGACACTGCAGGAATACTGAGCTCAGAAATGAACCGTGACATTTTAGGCTTGGAGACGCTTCTTTATGAAAAGTGATTTCAAGGATTGCAGCTGTTGGATTTCACAGATGAGGCAAATGAGAGCGGATGTGGCGAAGGGGCAGAGCGCAGGGGAAGCAGGCTGGGCATTTTTCTTTTCTCCCATCATACAAAACCCGAAGGAGTAGCCAACAAAATGGGGAAAAGATGCGTTTCAAAGGAACAGAAAGAAATATGCTTTGTACATATGGCCACCATCCCCCGGCAGTGAATTCAAGCAGTTCCTGTGGAGTTCAGAGGTGGTAGGGAATATCCAGTACCAGTGGGTTAAGGATTTGTAGGCCAGTTTCCCTCTTGGCTGCCTAAGCTTGAGGGAGGGATGGGAACAGATGGGTCTGATCCAAACTGAAGCTGTGCTGGGTGGAGCTGAGAGCAGGCTCTTCTGCAGGGTGGGCCAGTCCACATCTGTGTCCGGGTATCGTCCTCCGCACTGACGCACAGCTGGTACCCACAGCTGTCAGGCAGGCACTAAAGGGTGATATTTTATAGTGACCCTCCATTTAATTCCATCTAACAGGTATTAAAAAATATTACTTGTTTAAAAAAAAATAAAGAAAAAACCTAAACAACTTCCGAAAATATGTATGCATACGTACTTTGGAAGGGAAGAAGGAAGGTTGGCGAAACTGGCTCTGGTTTGTTTGACGTTTTCCAGATAAAACTGAAATCCAGGATGGGCAGGTTTTTCTTAAGAGTATTACGTGGTTCTTGACCGAACTAAAAGGGAAACGTTTTGGTTTTCCATATTAATTAGCTGTAATATTGAGGTGTTTAGCTGATTTGTCATGTCCAGGGGAAATGGAGGAATTTTGTTGAATGCTCTGTGACCTTTAGCTAAGGGTGAAAAAACACATTACTTATACTCCTAACCTTCTAATGTGTCCAAAGTTCATGCTCTCTCAAAGGAAACCTTGGCATGAAGGATATTCGTTTTCAGGCAACCTGGAGATATTTTCTGTAAACAGATCGATTTTCTCATGCAGCACACGTCCCCCTTTCCTTTTAAAGCCTCTTGATGATCAGTGTTCCCTGGGGACAGGAGGGCTGTCCTCTCTTCTTCCTCCTGGTATCTAGTTGCTTGCTGTGCCCTCCTGAATGGTCATCGTTGCCGTGTTCATGCCCTGGGGTTTCTTTGCTACAGGAGTAACGTGCCTTTGGGTGCAGGCAAAGGTGGCCAGGAGGTGGTGCCAGGGCTTGGGAGACACAAGATCTTCTAGGGCAGGGGCCCCTATACTAAAGCAGCTTGTACTTTTGAGGTGCTTTTAGAGTTTTACCTCCTAGAGGTGCTGAACAGGGTTCACGGACTGGTGAGATTAGGGATTTTTGCGGGGGTGCATGCATGTATGTATGAACTTGCTGCTCTTCAGTTGTTTGAAAGCTACCGAGGGCACTGCTGGTGCTTTTTTTTTTTTTTTTTTAATTACACAGAATGATTGAGGTTGGAAGGGACCTCTGGAGATCATCTAGTCCACCCCCCC